TCGAAAATTTACGACGTCAAAGTCATCAACTTCAAGTCATCAAATTAGGCCAATCGGATGGTAGTTGGATGAGGAAAAAATTCAAAAAAGTTGGCTTCCCTCCATTTTTTTATGTTTTTTGAGATGATGAATCTGAATTTGATATTCCTGTACGAAATTTTCCATTGCGTTTCGGGATATGTGAAAAAAAACAGCGAAATTTCTGAACTTTTATTAATTTTTTGGACATGACTCCGAAACTATGCATTCTATCGAAATTATTATTATAAATAACGTTAAAGAAGATAAAATTTACTATCAATTTTATAAACAGCTTTATGATGTAGAGCCAACGGGTAAGGAGTTGAAGAATATTGACTGTTAGCTTATTTTTATTCACGAGAAATGTTTCTTTTTGCCGGTTTTTCACCAAAACTCATAATCTATGCATCTATCGAATAAATTCAATATAATCAATTTGAAAGAGCATTAAAGTTATTATGTATCTCACGTATACACGTTAATATGTGATGTTTAGCGGCTGTTAAAACTCAGAATCCAAAGCGTATTTCCCTTATAGTTCTCAATATAAGTGCTTTTTATTCTATTTTATAATTATTTTTAGAAATTTTAACTATTTTATAACCAACTAGAATGTATATATATATATATATATATATATATATATATATATATATATATATATATATATAATAGCTTTTATACATTCTGTTGGCAGGAGAGACTTCAACATCCATAACAACCTTAAAAAAATTAAGGACCAAAATACGTTTCAAATTCCGATAGTTCCAAAGACATTTCGCCTATTCACATATAACGACTCTACATAAGCTTCAATCACAGGCGGATTTACGGGAGGAGGGGAGGGGATTTCGGGCTGAAGCCTTCCCCAAAATGGTAAAAAATATTAAAACATTATGTCTTAAAGTATTATCGCTCGTTTAATTACATTTAATAGGACTTCAAGAATCACTTAAACACCATTTCATATAGATAGTTAGTATCTTTCTGTTTTTCCAAAGTAATTATCATTATATATATGAAAAAAAAAAAGGTTCTGGGCTGAAGCCCCCCACCTCAAAACTAAATCCTAGATCCGCTAGTGGCTTGAATTAACTTGAAAAAGTATAAAAATTTTTATTGAGTTCAGGTATAATCGTTAAAATACGAAAAGTTGTAAAGCTATTAATTAGAGCGATCGAACTTTAAAGCGCATTTCGGTTGTTAAGTTTTTGATTATTATGAATTTTGATGTCCCTCATACTAACAGAATACATAGAAACTATGTAATTTGTTTATACATTTTAATTTTGTTATAAATAAAGTTAAATTAGCCGAATAAAAAACATTGGAAAGATAAAAAGTAGATGTCCATAGATGTATACATTACAGACAGTAATTAGTATTGGTATGTTTTCTTTTTAAAAAGCACTGTTTTAACTCCTTTTATTTCCTTTGTTTAATTTCAATATAACGGCCAGGGGCGTTATTGAAAGACACAGGTGGGTAGGTTTTTCATAGATTTAATCATGAAATATTTCTATTAATTAAAGACATTTTTTTCTATGAAATTGCAAACTCGAGAAAATAGTTATTGGACTAGGTTCTAGGGATGTCAAAGAGAGATAATTTAGTACAAAAAGTGTGATTGAAACACATTCATTTTAAGGGTTTTTTCCACTTGTGAACCACTGTGCGTCGTCGTTATAACAATTATACGTTTACGTAAACAACGAAGTTTATCAAGTCCCTTAAGGTACGACATCCACTGTATATTAATTCCAATTTGAAAAAAAATATTTTCGAACTAAAAAGATTCCCTGAATTTAATCATTTTTCCCTGACTTCTTCCTGTTTTGAAAATCCCTTGACTTTTCCAGGTCGGTCGCCACCCTCTACTATAAATTTAACAGATTCGATGGGCGGGAAAAACATGGTAATTAATTGATTTAAATGAAGTTATACCATCGCTTTTATTTTTATTTCGTTATATATGAAAATATATATATATATATATACTTTTTTTAGTCCTCCCCTCTAAGGCTATACGGCGTTTTCCCGGGTCTTTAGGGGTTGTGGGCAGGGATTTAAAAGACACTCCCGGCATCGGAACGCGAACTCCCGACTATTTTAATATCAATTCTCTCATATATCAGGTTGTCTGGCAACTGGGTTGCTGTGCACACACGTTAGCCCGTTCGGCCACCCTGCCCTCAATGTGAAAATTGTGTGATGCACACACTCCACCAGATTTCTTAAATTTTTAATAGGTGGGGAGCATCCCTGAAGATCTGCTCTGGGCAATTGCCCAGCCCTAAGGCTGCACTGTCTTGAGGTGATGTATGGCAACATAAGTCAATACAAACCAATAGGGAATCCAAGAATTAATTTTGGGGGAGGGGCTTCAGCCTGAAAGATTTTTTTTTCATTTACATAAAACGATAATTAATTTGAAAAAAAATAATAAAGAAATCAACTACCTATATGAAATAGTGTTTACGGGATTCTCGAAGTCTTATTAAATGTAATTACAGTAACAATACTTTAAGATTTAGTTTTTAATATTTTTTTCTATAAAATGTTTATATTTTACCATTTTGGGAGGGAGGCTTCAGCTGGAAAGCTCCCCCTCCCCCCATAGATCTGCCTAATGATACAAAGGGTATCAGCTTTGTAGCAGAATAGTGCAAAATATTTAGAACCACCTATCTTTTAACCAATTTAATCGTTTGATGATTCTATTTTTTTGGAAATTAAGTAAACTTTAAAATGACCTTACAACCACAAAAACAGAGAATATGTTTGGAATTTTACTACTCTTAACTTTTTCCAGATATTTTTTGGTGAAGTATGTTATAAAGATAAATTTAAAGGGCTTTGAATTTTAATATTATTGTTAATTAAGAAGCATGCAAAGCCAACTTACTCTCCTCACCAGTTGTATTTAAATGGTAGAATTTCAAATGGTTATTAGCTATAAATCCTTTAATTAAATAAAATGGTTTGTAACTGCTATTCTATTAAATTTTTTTTGTTGGCTTTAGTTGAATAGTGGGAGAAGGCTTTCCCTTCTTTTAGCATAACTTCCACCCACAAGATTTTCTTTTAAGCTGTTTGCCTCCAAGGCAGAAACATACTAGTATAATAATAGATGGAAGCATTTATTCATGTTGGTTTCCTGTACTTTACATTAAAAATTATTGACAACACTGTCAGTTATTTATGCCACTGCACTGATCACAGATAGCCCAACAACCAAGCAATACATCTACAATTAAAATTGGAGGGATGTTGGAAAAATCTTGATATACTGTAATATTGATAATTCAAAATTAAAATTTGACTGCTGAAAAATAATATTTTTCCCAAAAAAATCTGATTCGGGCACACACAACTTTCTCTTACGCTCTACTTTGAATAGACATTATTTTCTGGCAATGTTGGGCTATTATAAAATTTTTGAAGTGCATTTTTAACTGAGCTAAAGCTTAAAGCTAACAATTCAAAAATGATGCCTGATATTTACATTAATTTATTCATTAATCTGAAAGTGTTCCTACTAAAAAAACCGTTTGTTATCAATGACAAAACGTAAGAACTTACAGAATTCTCGCCAATGTGAGTGCAGTATTCTTATGTATTTGATTATAATCACAGTCTAAAGCATTGGAATTATTAAAACCTCCTATCAACAGACAATATCCAAAAAATCATCCACAGTGTGGTAGAGTATTAATATTTTTGTCAAGGAAATATTGAAATATTTCCATTTATCCAAGTCACTGAAAACCCTGAATTCCTAAGTAGCAATTTAAATACGGTATTACATTAAAGCTAAATACAAGACAGTTTATCTCAAAAATTTAAATATGACTAGAACAATGCATAAATAAATACTAATAACAAGAACATAAAAAATGGAGTTTAAAGCTACAGAATGGAAATTAGAGTGATGAAAGAACAATGAATAAAATAAAATTAGTCTTGGCTCATCACAATAAAATCCTAACGAGAAAACTATGTTTTTACAGGTGCTGCTCAGGGCCAATTGAATTTAAATAATGAATTGAAGTCAGAATTAGCCAAAAGGAAAATCAGGTGGTTGGACAATAGTGTCCCACAATGATATTGTGAGGTTGAGAACCAGATACTTTTGGCACACTACCTCTGGTTTATGGGCAGTTTCTGATTTAACTTCTGTTATATTTTTGATCAGGATGAGTTCATTACCATTACTTGGTAGTCCAACTCATAACAACTGAAACTTGCCAGACTATAAACATACTGCACTCATTCCAAAGCACAGATTTCATACATATAAAAAGAGGTAAATAACTTTTAGAAGCTTTTTTGTTTTTTAAAAATTTAAATGATCATATCAGTAAAAATAATAGTGCTTTTATTAAATAAATGAAATTAAAATAACCTCTAAAAAAATATTCATCCAATCACAGAGAAAAGTACAATTTTTATAAATTCAAACTATATTTAAACATCAAAGATCAGATTTAAAACATTCTTAATATATATATTAAATGGACAATAATACAGACAGTAATTAATTAACGACTTAACAAATATTAAAATAAAATGTCATTATTTCTAATTAATGATTAAAAACAAGGAAACTGTCACATTTGTGCTAAAAGTTTCATCATTCCTTAACTTGCTTTTCCAAAAACAGTAAAGACAATAGAAAAAAAATTTTATACCTCTATTTTATTTACTTTAAAACAAATAAGAAATTAAAGACAAAACAACACCCATTTTTGATCAAAATGCAAAATTTTTTTATCTTTCCAAAAGAAAAAAAAGATATATATATATATATATAATTTAATCTATCACGATCAAGGTTACAGAAAGACTAGTCTGTTTCCCTTCCCTCATTTAAGGCAACTTGATGAACTAATGTCGAAATAGTGACTAGCTTTTTTACTTTTTGAACCACTTTCATTACTATTAATAAATTAAGTACAGTAACAAAAGTGATTTCATTTTCAATCAAGAGTTAAAGTAGATGTATTGACTTTAGCATCTCTCATTTTCTTTAAAGATTTGGTAAGGTCATCCATCGTAATGGGTCGTAATGTATCATGAAATTCTTCTTGATCTTCACTGAGCTTTATTGCATTGGAATTGATACCTCTGTCCTTCCTAAAAAATTAGAAAATTATATTAATTACTATATATCAATAGGCAGTTTATTTATCTAACATGTTAAAAGGTATGAAGAAAGAGCTTAAATATAATTATAACTATAATAATGTTTTTCTCATCATGAAAAGACAAGAAGTAGAAGAGTATTTTAAGTTCTTTTATAGCTGAGCCCAATACATTTAAAATTAAAATAGCTAGGAAGAATATCGGAAAAATCTTGATATATTGCAATATTGTCAAAAATATTGATACATCAAAATGAAAATTTGACTGCTGAAAAACAATATTTAAAAAAAAAAAATCTGATTCGCGCAACCACACAACTTTCACTTCCTGCTCTACTTTGAACAGAAATAATTTTCTGGCAATACTGGGCTATTATAAAATTTTTGAAGTGCATTTTTAACTGAGCTGAACAATGCGTTAATACCATTAAAATAACAAAAATCCAGTTTATTATATCAACGGTTGATTATGGGTTGTACGATGGTTAGTCATGAAACTGTTATTTTCCATTTCAAAGTTTACTAAAATGGAATTACAAGATATGTATTGCTTGTCATAGATAGGTCAAAAGCTGTCACACTGATTCTAATTTGATACTGTTGGAATATTCATATACAAATATTCATATACACAAAGGGAAAATTCATCAAATCAGTAACTAATTTAATTTTCTAAAAGTTTACATGATGATTTTTTGGAATAAACGGACGATACCTAATTATTTAAATATAATATCAGATCTAGAGTTATTAAGCTACAGTATTTAAGGTAGTAAAAATATCTATGAGATATTTCGTTATCTTCTACAACTTTATTTATTAGATATTATTTTTTTTCTAAAATTCTCAGCTTTCCAATGATATATTTTTCATATACCTTCTGACTATTATTTCCGGAGATTCATTTTTGACCTGGATTAATATTTTTCTTTTTTTCTCCTTTATTCAATTATCAAATTCTTTCAAAAGTTATATTTAGCCTGTTTTCATAACTTTGAACAATGAGACATAGTTAATTATTAAAAATAAACCAAATTAAAGTTACTTTATAGAAAGAAATTTTGAGGATTGGGCATTTAAGCCTTGTTAAGCGACATCAATAGGGATAAGACCAAAATAATATTAAAGAATATTTAAATATACATTGAAACATTGAGTGTAATCAAAATCGTTAGAGCCATTTTCAAGAAAAACGTAAAAATGTGTAAAATCGATTATATAAAGTGGCACTTTATTTGGTAAGCCAATTTTGACGAATAAGTTGTAGTAACATTCTAGGCATGCACAACCATTAAATACGAAATTTCAGTTCTGCATGACTTTTTGAGCTAGACGTTCACACACACACACACACACACACACACACACACACACACAGACTATTTTGTGGGACTTGGTTATAAGGACTCAGAAGACATCAAAACATGTATTTTCGTTGAAAACTCAGATTCAAAAATGTTTACGATCACAATATATACCCTTACTATGTATTACATATATAGGTAAGTGAAAGTAAAAATAAAAAATCTGGTGTGGTGCATGCATCACACAACTTTCACATCAATAATGAATTTAATCAAAATTGTTAGAGCCGTTTTTGAGAAAATTGTAAAAATGTGGTTAGTCCATGATATAAAGTGCCACTTCAGGTTAGCCGTAACTATGTAGATCTTTGACCGCGTGGCGTGGTCTTTTTACAGACATATATTGATTGCGGGAGCACAGATAGCCTAGAAGGAGCCACCCAACATGGCTTTGCTACAGAAAATGGTCTCCATGGTGCAGTGGCAGGCCACCCATAGCTTTACGAACAACCCCTTTAGGGCCATTCTGGCAATGTATTTCCTACCAACTTACTTGGGTTCAAGGAAAGTGACAAAGCTGTCTAGATCCATGAATTATGGCTGCTGCTTATAAGAACTTGTTTTTTCATCCCTAAAATAGACCATCCAGGAACCGAACATCAGAGAGGCTACTGACATCCTAGAAAATAACATCCCGATTTTAAATTTAAGTACATGGGATACGGTCATCGGTCATACACCAGTTTGGCGTGAACTGCTTCCATTAGGCTGATTGGGCTCATATACTTAGAGAGGGAGTGGAGAAATCTCAGGCAGCATGGTTTCCCTCTGTGGAAAACCAAGTACTTACCAGGTTCGACATTGCTTAACTAAATTCAATGGTAGTCCTGTTCCACTTCTTTCAAAGATAAAAACATTATCCCGAAATACGATATATTTTTTGATATTAAAAATTACTATTTCAATATATTTAAGAAACATATACATATTAATATTTTGTTTTTAAATTTACATCCCTAATATAAGAAACAAAAACATTAAATTAAATATGAATAAGCAGACTCACAGTTTATCACAGAACTGGGTATTTGCCACATAATCACGAACTCTATAAAGTGAAGCATTGCGACAGAGCTCCTTGAGATCAGATCCAGAGAAGCCTTCCGTATTTGCAGCTATACCACTGAGTTCAACATTATCAGCCAATGGTTCACCAGACATCACAAGGTTTAATATATCTTTCCTCTGGACAAGAGTCTGTAATAGAGCAAAAATATTTGTAAATCTTCTAATTTTAAATAAAAATGTTCAAGTAAAATAAAATAATATATTATAGAGAATGTTCCCTCCCAAAAAAGTAACCTATGAACATGGATCGCTTCTGCCCTACATATTTCTGTATACAGTTAGCCGTATAATAAAGCTATATTAAATGCTTAAGACAAAGATATATTGTTTTAAATAGATTTTATTGGTTTACGTTTTTCAACGTACAAGGCCAAGTTTGACCAGAAAAGCTCAAATATTGTATTAACTATATTTTGCAGCAATGCTGTCGATATAATTCATGAATTATCTGAATAACAAAAATTACATTTCACCATAATTTTTCCTTCTTTTAATAAAGCTTTCTTTTTTAGGGTGCTTAATTAGATTCAAAGACATTAAGGACCTGAAATCCTACAAAAGAAGAAAATTTGTCCATCAGTTCACTACTTAATCGTAGGAAAGAAACACAAATTAATGACCAATAATGATTTTTTGGGCTCAAAGATGGAGGAAACTAAAGATCTGAAAAACGGATATAGAAAATTTTCTCTGATTATATTACATTCCATACCTGGCCATAAGTGATGATAGTAAAGAAAATAAATGGTAATTATAGAAACCAAAAAATAATTCCATAATTGTTTAAAATAATTTTGAGCCTAAATCTTTCGTTGATATTGAACACTTTTCAAAATGATAAATAATAGTCCAAACAAACAAGAATTATAAGGATATTTGATAAGTTTATATAAATAGTTTATTAACTACTTGTTAGTATCAACTGGCTGTTGAACAATATTCATAATAATTAAATCAAAACAGAAAAAAATATGTTAATTAGTAATGAACTTATAAAATAAATAATACAGAATGATACATGAAGTAATTTAAGGTTGGAATTGATTCAGTTAAAATAATATAACTTCAACAAACATCAGATCATTCTTTCTCAGTAAAAGCCCATGATCATGAATGCTTCATTTGACTCAATCATTACCATTAACAATAACTTTAAAACCAAATATATAATCATGGTACAGATTAAATACACTAAGTAAAAAACAATTTTGAGAAAACGCTGAAGATTTCATTCTTCTAACTTCTTTGACATAAGTATTATTAAATCAAATTAAGTTACAGCAATGGCATTTTATTGGCCACTATGAACCAGTCTTGGCTTCTGAATCCAGTATGCTTATGAAAAGTTGAAAACCCGAAAATCGATAATTTTGACTTAGTGTGTTTCACCTATAACCACTGAAATAAAACTGAAAAAAATAAAATAATGTGAAATTATTTTACAGGAAGAGGAATGTGAAAAATTGCAGGCATACGACGGAGAATAGCTTTATCCAAATCATGGGGCCTGTTAGTCGCACCCATCACAATCACAGTTGTTCCAGGATCAGTGTTCAGACCATCCCACAATGTCATGAACTGAGCTTTCATCATAGCCGTAGCTTCATGATCTTGCACATTACGACTTCTGAGGAATGAATCTAAAAAGGTACATTTGTTTTAATAACTCTTAAAATAGTTTGTTATGAAATAAAAATTTAAAATCAAAACAATCTTGATAAGATATACTATATAGATAAATAGTAGATATTATGCCCGTCACATGGATTAGACTACAGACAAGGAACCAAATTTGTTCCATAATGTCCAACACAAAAATGAACAACTCCCAGCCAGCTCACAACATGCCGCCCTTCATACTTTCACAACCTTTCATAGATTTTATATTTCCTCAAAGTTTACAAATATTAATAACAGAATCCAAATACTGATTTAAAATGTTCATCAGAAAAAAAAAGACAGACTTAGTTTTAACATTTTTTCTTCACTATTTAATAAGGCCATGGAAACAGTTCCGGATGATTTACTAAAAGAATTGATAGATTTAAAAAACGAAACAAATCTATTAAATTAATTTAAAATAAACTTGAGATATAAACTTGCCTATTTCATCAATAAAAATGATGCAAGGTTGCAATTTAACAGCTAATGAGAAGACAGCAGAGGCTAATTTCTGACTCTCTCCGTACCATTTATCTGTGAGGATGGACAGGTCTAAGTTGATGAAGTTAGTTCCTGCTTCTTTGGCAGTAGCTTTAGCAATCATAGTCTTTCCGCATCCTGGTGGCCCATGTAATAATACTCCTAGAAATAAAAAAAATTATATAAGGTCCAATCTTGGTAATCCAACAAACATAAGTTACAACAAATAGTCAAATTATGAAATATTATATAGGTTATATAACAACGCAAAATAAAGATCCAAATATTGTCAGACTAAATTTATTTTATTAATAATTCTTAATTAGGCATACTGAATAATAAAATATTAATTATATTTTAAAAATCATAAAATTTTGAAAGTAGAAATGAACATGTTACAATGAAACTACTTTTCTCTACATTGTGCTTTCCCATTTCCTTCCCCAGTATAAGCGGTTGAAATATTCTTCCCTATCAGTTTAATGCTTTTTAGAATACTGAATGTTGCATTAACAAATGTCAAGACTCAAGATTGTTCTATAAATATATGAAGAGCTTACTTTTAAAAGGGCATATATCCATAAAATAAATAAGGTGTTTTCACATTTTTAATTTCATTTGGATGGACTGCATTAAATCTTTTTCTCCCAAAAATGGAGAAATCCCTTTCTCTTTCGAAACGAAGAAGTTAGAATTGAATTCATAAATATAAATGATAAATTTAAACAGTTGATAATGGTTATTTTTTTTGTTTTGAGCAACACTGACAGATTTTAACCATTTGTCTTAGTAACCTTTTGTCTGTCCAATGATCCATATAAATAAGCTGCATCCACGGTGTAAGTACCGTGATTTCATTAAATCTGCATTTCTGCTCATGTATGCTTTTGTTAAAAATCAAAAGTCTTGAAGGGTTATTTAAGTAGTATTTCCATTCACTTCTTGACCTTATTGAAAGTAAGCTTCATATATAAACAAGTTCTTAAATTGCAACTACATACACAGATTTAAACGATAAATGGTCAGATGATTTTTATTGAAGGATATGTAATGGATGATAGAATTACACGGATGTAAAGTAAAATCCTAACTACCCACAGTAATAATGAGAAGGGGTCCCAAAGAAAATCTAAAATGAGGGATATATTAATGAATAAAAGAACAATAAAATAATTTTTATTTACTTTTCAATAATAAATGATGATAATTTAGGGTGATAAACCTGTTAAAAAATAGTTAACATTACCAAAGTACTTAAAAGTTTTCATGGCTTAATAGAAGGCCAAACATTTCCTTCAACCAAACAGGGTCAATAATAGTTGATAAAGTTATCTTAATTGGGTATTTTAGCATACTCTGCCAAATGGAAAGATCTTAAAAGTTTTTAAGTGTTAAAGACATCATCTAATACTTCTCCTGTTCAATAAATATTATGTTACATATCAAATACTGAATTTCAATAAAATTATAAATGAAAAAGTAGGCAAATAAATTAATGCATAATTGCTCCAATCCAGAAAATGCAATAAATTATAGAAGTACATCAAAATTAGCAAAAAGAGTACATATATTATTATACATATACATATATTAGAGAGTACATATAATTGGGACCCCGAGATGCTCCCGTGTCTCCCAAAACTACACGGAGTTAGGGTGGCTCTTCCCCTCCTTAAGAAGACAATATTTCCTAGGCACATTCCTATATCAAATCATTACTTATTATCGTCCTTCTTATGCCTACAACCTTCTCCAATTTAAGTCCTCTATCCATTCCCTCACTACAAGATCTCGACCCTCTGACCTATACATCCCTTCTCATAGATCTGCCTCATTCCAAAACTCCTTTATAGCCAGCTTTGTCAACTTTTGGAATTCTCTCCCGATCAAAATTCGGCATGCCCCTTCCCTATACAAATTCAAAAACCTCCTATTCCAATTCCTGTTCCAAAAACAGTCAGATACCAGCTAACTATTAATACTATATATGTATTGTGTAGCAATCATATAATAATACTTGGTAAGAGATAGTACATGCATTTCCTACTATCAACGTAGGAATTTCAATACATCTATTTTTTTTTTATTCATTTATAAATAACTTTATTATTGAAAAAAAAAAAACACATCAAAAGAGTAGTAAAATTCACCAAAACCAGTTTTTCTACAGATGCACTGAACAATTATATATATATATATATATATATATATATATATATATATATATATATATATATATATTTAATACTACCTTTAGGGGGTTGAGTCAATTGTGAATTGCTGAATAGTTCTCTTCTCCTAATTGGCAATATGACAGTTTCCTGAATTTCTTGAATAACATGGCCTAGCCCTCCTATACTATCCCAGGAGACTGTAATACTCTGGGGATCGACGAGATGATTAGCTATCATCAATTCATATTCTGTTAGCTGCAATGTTTTAAAAAGGTAATGAAAGGAAGAAATAAATTTCAACATGACAAAATGGTAAGTCAAATACATATTTAAAAAATACAAATACTAGAGCCAATAGTTGATTAATACAAACTGTCATTGATAACTCTTTAATATATATATAAACATGAATTACTTAAAGACTAATACAGTGAAATATGGGGTAAGAGCAGACTAGATTTTACCAAGTTTGGGTTCAAATACCAGTAATATTTTTTTTTTTAAACAATTTTTTATTTATTTACTTGATTTTGTTTATGTTCCTTAGACATTTATGTTTTATACATTAAGCTCAAGTATACATTTCAGTTTTATGATTTTTATAATATCATGCACAAGTACGCACCTGCCTGTGTCTTAAAGGATTTAGTGTACACGGTAATGAGGAATAATCATAGGAAGACGGGGGGCAAAAACACACTTTGCCCAGCAACCCGATAACCAAATTAGATAACTTAATTACCAGTTTCCATCCAAGTGGGGAGCTTTTAACTCTGGAATTAATCTCCTGGCCCGGGAAAAAAATCTGTATAGCATAAAAGGCTAGGAAAAAATTCATCTAGGTAATGCATGTTTATTCCATTACCCCACAGCCCTTGTCCTGCCTATATCATATAAAGCTTAATTGACTGCTTTGTTTCAAAGATTTCTACCTAAATTTTCATTTGTCCCACTTTGGGACCAATATCACTGAGAACTTTACATTCAAATTTTTTATCAAGAGTCATTGTAAGAAGCTTTGTAACTGGCAGCAAGACATCACTATCGGTTTTATGATTTTACTTTTGCATGTTTAACTGAAGCAATAATCGAAAACAATTTAATCATGCTTGTCAATCACAATGTGAAATCCTCAATGAGTCTTGAAAGTGAGATGTGGAATATAACTAATTACCATATTTTTATAAAACTTTATTATAAAGTGGTAGTCTAGAGCATAAAGACACAAGTCCTTCAATAAAGATTTAACCCTATTACCGTATAATCCAAGGCAAAAACTCGCTCTTAAAAACTAGAAAATTGTAACAGAGATATGTAAAACACTAAGTTTAATTTAGAACAACAGTGAGGGTTTCATTTACCACTAAGATTAGAAAAAGAAAAAAAATAGATGTAGTGGTGAATGAACACCGATAACAGAGATTGAAAGATTTAATTAAATCAACAGGTAGGAATTAATTTCTTTAAAATTCATTACACTTAACCTTTAAGATGCACTCATGGCTGATTTGCGAACCATCACTGTTAAAAGTTTACCATAGTAAAGAGCAACTCAAATCAGTTCAAGCTTTAGATTTATGGAGAGGATTATGCACTTATCCCCCAATGAAAAGTGATAAATTTAAATTAAAAACAAGAATAAAAATTCTATAGATTCTGCAGTCTAGCAATGCTTTTTAATTTCGAACGAGAATGATGGATAAAAATAGATATTAATGAAAATAAAAATCATAAGCAACCAAGGCATACTATCAGTGATATTGTGCTTACCACCTTAAATATGAGGCAAAAACATAAATACACTCACTTGTTTGGCAATTTTGATTCCTAGTCGGTCCAGTAGATCGGTAGCCTAAAATGAAATAAAAATAAAACGATAACATTCTCCTTAAACAAAATATAATACTGATAAGCACCTTAAACATACCGTTTTTGCTGCATAGGTTTTCCTTTTATTCGTAGGATCAAGGTGCTTCATTAACAGCTTAGCTGTTAACAAAGCCGTAACAGAAAACAACGACACTCTCAGAAGTGTAAAGAAAATATCAGCTCTAGTTATTCCTTCGGGCATCATAAGAATTTAGTGAAGAGAAGATTCAACTTGAAATTATACGGACTACAGAACGTGATCGATCACAACGAAATACAAAGACTACTTTAACAGCGAGATAGAAAGAAGAGAAACAATAAGTAAATTAGACTAACTAATTTCACAATTGTTAAGTCCGAGGTAATAAAAAATAAAAAAAAAAACTTTGTGTTAATGATCAACAGAAATATGGCGTTAGTGCTTGTCAACTTAAAAATGCATATGTAGAATTCATCCAATTCAACAGGTTCCCGGAATTGGATTCCGTAATGAATACTTTTTTGTTGTTCTTATTAAAAACTGTAATTAGAAGATATCAAAGATGAAGATGTTTAGGTATCAAAGTTTGTGCACACTGAGTAAATTTTCCCCGTGATGGATGTCTTTTAGAATATATCTGCTTAATGTATAAGTGAACACTTGCGAATTTGGAAGATAGAAACATAATATTGAGTTTAAGGTCATTTTTTACACACATGTTGTATTACTTCAAATCTTTACCATTTGTTTTAGTAAAATAGATTTATTGTGAACATTGGAAAAACTTGTTGAATAAAACAGTCTTTATCAAACTTCTGATTAAGTGCATACACTCATTTATGGTCAGAAATAAAATTAATCTATGCATAATTTTCTTACTGGGGCATATCATGATACAGATCTAAAGGCATTATACTTATAACTAACGGGCAGGTTCCGGATTACTATTTAAGATGTTTGGATGTGTTAACACTTCAATAAAGCAATTGCTTATCTAGCCCCGCCAATTCTACTGATTTTATTCCTAATGTTTAAAATACCACACTTCTCCATCATTTCATCATTATATGAAATTCCGCAGGTGGTATCTCATCCTATCATATTTGTTAGCTTATTTGGTATTTTTCTTTTTTTAAACCATTCCTCAAGCTTTCAACGTTATCAGCTTTTATTTTAAACACGATTAGGATACGAAGTTAATTTTTATAATTTTTTTTCGCCTGAGGTAGGCACCAATATACTTCTACTTGGAACATTAAGTATTTCATCAATATATCAACTTAAAATAAGCCTCTAGGCTCTTCGAACTACAACACTGAACAGCTACTTAATATATGTGGACAATTATGCCACATTTTTTTTTTTTTATCATTTCTTTCTCCCTTTCCGTGACACATCTATTTATGTGCATCTTGCCTTAATGTCTTGGGTAATTCTAGAATTATATTCGTGTCAATTCTCTGTTCATTCACAGAGTTCTATTTGTAATCAGATGCCAATTATTTTCAACAGAACCCTATTCTAACCTTCTTCCTGTAAATTCTTTCTCAGGATCCCTACCTTTCTTTGTCGATTTAGAATGTCTGTCGCCTAAGACGGAAGATAATTACCAGCAAGTCAGTCCTAACGTAAAAGGTAAGTGATAAGTTAGCACAGACAGTAATATTAACCATAATATAACCAATAAAATTTCATAATTTTGTTTCACTCCGTTGGTCCAGTACCGATTAAAACTAAGGTTACAACGATAATTAGCAGCAGCACAAGTGAATTAATACGATCTTCAGACAATTATTAATTTTCTGATTTGTTTGAGTGAGGATCCAAGATAAGAAATTTCAGTTATGGTTTCATTACTTACAAAACTAATTTAATTAACAATCTTAATAAATAACCTGTAACTTTTTTTAATCTTATTTGACACGTTGCACTTGAGCTAGTGGAAATCGACTACTGTTCTTAAAGTTATAATACAAAACTAAGTTTCTATTTACAATATTTTTTTGCCAATACTATAACACTTATAGTTGTTTTTATGGTTTTAGCTATGTAATAGCTTTCGACATTTGCTTGCTAGAACAATTCATAAAATAAACAAACTACAATGATTCCTTATGAATGGCCTCCCAAGAGCCATTGGTGCTACCTTTTTCCGCATGGTTACAGGACACCATTATCCGTTTGACCTCTCTTGTTTTTACCTATGTTATTCAAACAATTATGACTTGGAAGATGAATTAAAAAATATATGTTTGACAACGAAATACAAAATGCCAACCAATGAAAAATGGAATTTGTTCAATTATCGATTGATAGCTCTGAAATGTGCTTCTTAGCACAAACTTGCCTATTTCAAGAGTTAAGAACTTCAAATTCTGCGTCAAGCGAGTTACTAACATTGTAAATTTGTTTCAGAATCATTTTGGATATCAATCATGGAAACATGGCAGTATTTACCAATTTTTCAATTATCACCTAGTGATTTGGTAGATTAATTCGGAATCAAAGTATGTGTCACTTGAGAAATTCCATACCCTTTCTTTACGTCTTTAAAAATTTTTTTGGAAATGTCCTGCATCCTACTTTATAAAATATAATTATTCCATACGAACATAGGTCAACAAGCATTTTCTTTTTGCCCCTCTCTCCTTTTTCGCCAGATATAGCTCCAAGCGAATAGCACTTATTCCGGTCTCTGCTGGACTCAATGAGTCGGAGCAATTACAAAATAAACAGGACATCAAATTTTTTTTTTATTATTATTTCTGAATGATATTTACAACTGTATTAAAGAAATACATTTACTAAATTTAAACATATGGATATAATGACGTGATAACACTTGAGAAACTACCCAATGATAGCACTCTAATGATATGTCTACATTAGGAGATCATGTGGCCATCTTCTTTTCAGACGCCTTGGAGGGTTATCAGGAATTGAAGAGGAAGCAAGGTTAGAAACGAGAGGGTTGGGATGATTATGAAGTTTATTATAGAAGGATAGGTATCTGGATTGGGCCAGATCTGAAACATGAGATACATTAAGGTCATTATGGGTGGTTTTATTTGTAACAAAGTAGGGAGCATTGAGGATGCTACGAAGGATTTTGTATTGTAAGGAATGGATACCAGAGGAATTCGATGGTTTAGTAGAGCCCCATAGCTCAACTCCGTAAATCCAAATAGGCCTTATTACAGGCATGTATATGAGTCTTTTGTAATTAATTGGAAGTTTAGTGCGTCTGTCTAGTAAGTGCTGAAGTAATCGGAAATGTCGAGCGCTTTCTTGTCGTTTCAGTCTGGTATGAGGATTCCAAGTGAGACGTTTGCCCAGGTGAAGTCCTAGGTATCAGATTTGTTCAACAGGAATAAGTGGAATATTGTTAAAGGAAACTGTAGGACAGGAAGTCTACATCAAATGTTAAATTTTAAATGTAAAATTTAAATATTACAGAAAAGTATCAAAAAAGATTGAAGTTATATAAACCTAACTATTCTTGAATTAATCTCTTTCAATGTTTAAATTTACAGATTTTGTCTCAGATAAGGAAGGTGATTGACTTCAGATTTTATATTCTTGCTATTTAGAAGAATTGGCTAATAGAAAATAAAGTTCTACTTTAAGTATTTGATTAAAAGAAGGTAATGTAATTTCTGTTAACATTTATACCATAAGAAAAAATATTTATTTTTCCAATTTCAACTATTTTCATTGCATATTTATTTTATTGGTGATTATTCATTGTTGGTGATCAAACTTTGATTATATTCATGCAAGATTTGCTTTATATCTCAATATAAGAGACAAATGTAAATAAAAAACGTCTGCCAAGTAATGTCAGTACAGCTTCCTCACCGTTTTCATTGGCTAAAATATTGGTATATTACAAGGTATACAATTTTTCGTATAAGAATAAAATCTCTGAGAAAAGCCGATTCGGAAATACAGTTATCCTTCAATATCCACGGGTTTGATATCCACGAATTTCGATTAACTAATATTAAAATTCAAAAGAGTGCCGTATTTGTAGATTCCATATTTTATGATTCTTAATTCAAACAAAAATACTAATGCATACTGAACATACATATCACTACTGTTAGTGCATAAGGTCGTATGTAAAAATTGATTGTTTTACAAGTGAGCATAAAAATTAATTATTTCTTTATGCTTTATTAGTGTAATTTCATATTTTATTGTCCTCTGCTAGTCTCCACAGTAGTTGACTTGGCTACTTATATCAGTTGCTGACTAGAAAATGTCATCATTATAACAAATAGAATAAAAGTTGAAAATTTTTACATATGGCCTTATGCAATAATAGTTATATATGCTTAATAGGTATGTTTTCACTCGCAAAATGGATGGAACTATAAAATCCATAAGAAAAATTCAACTTGTTTGTTGGAGTTAACGAGACCAATACTTTTCTTCAGACAGATCAAAACTATTTAGGTTGGAATATAAAAATATGAGTGAAGTTCACACAAATTTGATATTTAAGGAGGAGATCGAGACCAAGCCGAACTGGTTGAACTTCAATAGAAATAAACTCAGTAAAAGTTACATTAAATTTACTGAAAATTACACGAAATCTAAGTAACAGCAATAAGTGTCATGCCAATAAGTGTCATTCCAGCAACGTTTAAAATCGACCTAACAATGCAGTATAAATCATTTTTTAAAATAAAACCTAAAATTTTATGACGCCATAACAATATTGTAATAACCTAACTCCCACTTTATATGATCAATGCCTTCCACATTTCATAGCCATTATATTGTTAACAATTATTTATATTAATTTTAATTATTAAATGGAATTCAATGAAATTGATACTAAGTAATTTCTATACTGTTCTCCATATTTCCTGCAAAATTTGGTCAAATCGCGCCGTTTTCAATCTATAGGCATATCAAATAACACATTTCCTGATCTGAAAGCAGAAGTATTTTTTTCTGGAGTATTAGATAGAATTTGAAAATATTGATGACTATTTCATTTTACATTTATCAATCCCTAAATTTCCTCCAAATTTGAGCGAAATCGAACTTGCGGTTTTAGAGATATAGACTAATCAAGGAAAACACGTTTGCGCATATATAAGAGAAAGTAATGGACAGAATTGAATAAAATTTCCCTACAATATTTATTCACAAATACCTACCTTTTACCCAACATTGAGCCAAATCGAACAAGCCGTTTCTGAAATATTGGCTTA